GCTTCGAAGAGCAAAAAAGGTCTGAGTCATCAGCCGATTTTCGGCGAGTTAACGGTTCATCTACCCCGATTTTCTTTTGTGGTTTCTAGGGTTTCCAAGTTTTAGCATATTTTCTGTTTTGTTTCAAAAAACCCTAGACTATTAACCCTCCCCGAATATTCTCTAGAACTTTCTATTAACATTTTTAATGATCGATTCTGCCTATAAATACGTTTGTTCAACCTTTGAGCGCAAGATCTTAACGTATGCATGTGCAGATTCGAACAAAAAAAAACGAGATTTTAATATTTCTGAAACTCTTCCGTTCTTTATTGTCCTTTATTTTTCGGTTTGTTTGGTAAGATCATCACCGGTTTGCGTGACCTAAGCCTTTTGTTTGTAACAATCGGCGTTAGTCACTTTTCCGGCGAGTTCACTTGCCAAATCTTCTGAAACGATCTTACAGAGACTGATCCTTTAATGTTCTTTCTCTGTTTCGTTCAACCTCGAACATTTCCATTCGGTTTTGATTTCGGGACCTTTGAAAGAACATAGTCTCATGTCTGCATGACTCGACAATCGACATTCTAAAATGCCAGACATTGTTGTCATGCAACTCGACTTATGTTTACTTTCCCGCGTCTTCGTGACTTTTCAGTTTGCGGCACCACGAGTTCCGGTTCCGGTTTAGTCCGAAATCCGACACTCTTGGTTCAGACGTGTCCCTCTCCGGTTTGCTGTTTATTTTCATATTTGCCACTATAACCAAATCGAGGGATCGTTTTGGACTTGGTCACTGACGGCGACAAAATATTGTCATATACACAATTTAGCCCCGTGCATACCTCGATCCCGACCCTCAGATTCTGACTGATTTAGGTTTTCTAAAAAACCTTAAATTACAACTGTCAGAATCTCATTTTGGTGGTGGCTACATTAAAATCGTCGGTTTTGGGTTTATTTCGGTTCTTCTAATTTTGATTAAGATTAACTAATAATCTTAATAAGAATTCCTCTACCCCACAAAGAATTACAAAATACTATAATAAATACATTATGCGGAATACTTTGATCTGGATCAATCATCATGCATACCACACAAAGAATTAACCTGGGTTTTGAACATACCTGAATCCATGATAGCTTGACAAATGGCAGATTAGGTAGAAAGCCTTCTAGTCTAGAACATAAGAAATTTTATTCCGACAACAAATGGGTGCTATCAGATTTCAGTACGCTTAGCATAGGGACCACTACCACTATTTATAGTAATCAATTTATGTAATTTCCAAATTCGTTCATAAAGAATAGGAAATTACACTTCATGGTATCTGCATAATTATTTAATCCCTATACCTTTCTGTATTTGCATATTAGACCATCCGTAATTAGTGGTCATAATCTTCTGCAATTATTCACATTAACCAGCAATTATACCATATATTGATTATGACATTAAAACCAAAATATAGTTGTTAGAGAATTTCTAACAGGGAGAAGACAAGGTTGATCCATATCATAGTTTGGATCGAGGAAGCGGAGAAGCTGTTAAAGGAAGCAGATGAACTTTTGCAGAAAAAATAAGAACAGATCCAAAGATTCTGCTTTTATTTCTTTTTCAGCTATACTTACTCAAGACAGGTGTTTGAGTTGTGCCAAAGAAATGATACCTTTCAATACACGACCTTAGAACAAGTAACCAAGGTAAAATTTTATTTTGTATATATGCGTGTGTAAATAAAGGGAATTAATGTGATTCTTTCGTTCTTTTTTTTGCAGAAAATATTATGCATATTAGAGATATTCTATCATATCTTGTGAATATTGTGTATCACATAAATATAGGAAACTTAGTATAGTTGTTGCACTTATATTGATCTCCCTGATGTGTATATATTAGACGTAACCCTCATAATAAAGTTAAGCCTTTTACAATAATCTTTCATGGTATCAGAGCCTGGTATTATATAATATTATTAAATAATTTGTAAATAGGATTGATTGCAAACAAATAGGATTCTGATTCAAATACACTATTAGTTGTAATTGCAAATACTGTAAATGAGATTATTATATAATGCAAAGTTATTCTTTATTACTTGTTATCTCATTTTTAGTTATTTTTATCTTTATAATATTGAATTTATCAATAATTATTTCAATTTTCAATTTCTACACCCTAACACATTTTTGTTGATTGGGCTTTTAGTTATTCGTATCAACAGGCCTTAAGTTATAGACGTATGGTTATAAATTGAGTTTTTAATTATTTATATTAAGAGATATTGGGGAAGACGATATCAAGAGATGACATGTTATTTCATTTATTCACACAAAGGGGCATTAAACATTGAAAATTATTGTTGTTATTGCATTTCTATTTTATATAGACACTAAATTAAAATGAATATAAACATTTAAATCCCCTCTGGTGGTGATAGAGAATTGATAATATGATTATGTAGTATAAAATGAAACGATGACGAATCTTACAAATGACGTGGAATTTTCATTCGGTATAAATAAGATATCTTATTCGTTTTATTAGATTTTTAAAATGAGTTGGTATCTTCAATTTAGAAGATACGAATCTCGAGATGTTGGAGAGAATCGCAAGGGTTTTCAAAGGAACCATGTTGGACGGGTTAGAAAGGTATAGAAGGAGGAGGACATGATTGGCCCGTGTTATAGTCTAGATCGAGAAAGTGGATAAGGTCCTAAAGGAAGACTTCTATATAAGATTTTATTTTGTATATATGCATGTGTATTTCTGAAGAAAATTAACGTGATTCTTTCGTTATTTTTTTTATAGGAAATATTATTAAATAATTTGTAAATAGGATTGATTGCAAACAAATATGATTCTGATTCAAATACACTATTAGTTGTGATTGCAAATTCTTATAATACAAAAGTTATTATTTATTATTTGTTATATCAGTTTTAGTCATTTTTATCTTTATAATATTAAATTTATTAATAATTGTTTCAATTTTTAATTCCTACATCTGGGCCTATTTTTGTTAATTGGGCTTTTAGTTATTCGTACCAATAGGTCCAAAGTTTAAGGACATATGATTATGAATTGGGTTTTTAGTTATTTGTACGAATATGTTTATGTGATTCGTTGGAATCGTTGCAACTTGTAAGAGACATGGTTTTCCTCTATTAGCCCACGTAGAATCGAACCCACGCAAACTAAATAAAATACGCAGACGAAGAAAGATTATTTTCTTTAATAACAATTAATGTTCGCATGAATATTTTAATTTGTTTAAAGAAATGAATGGTTTGGATATATGTTATATTTCTAAAGCTGCCATAGTTTAAATTCTGTTGTAATGTAAATGTAAATTTGTCCTGATTTATGCTTGTTTGAGGAAAAAAAAACAATATAGTATGTTTACAAAAAGAACAATATATTAAAAATTCCATTGTCTTAATGTATTTTGAGACCGGTTTGGTATTTTCTCCATATAGTGAGTAACTGCAAGTTTTCGCATCCTAGCCTTTCAGTCAAAGGATTTAATTAGCATTATAAATTGCCTTTTGACTTATTGTATATATTATTTTTCCTAAGGTAGCTTAACTGCAGTAATCCTGATTTTTTACGACATTAAAATTCTTATAAACCATGTTTAATCAATTATAGTTTTTTATTTTAAGTTTTTTTCGAATGAAAAGTTCACACAAGTAGAAATATTATAATATTGATTCTCATGTGATTTTTTTATAGTATCTAATGGCTAAATCTTATTTGCTACTATTTACTTGGATTAAAATTGATTTATAAATTAATATAACGATGAGAATACCCTTCTATTTTTCAAATCACCCATAACCAAGTCGCATATACTTTTTTTCATATAACATAAAGTGTACTTAGGGGTGGCCATTTCGGATTTCGGTTCGGTTATTTTGGGTTCGGTTATTTCGGTTATAAAAAAATCATACCCAAACGGTTATATAGATTTAATCGGTTCGGTTCAGTTCGGTTTCGATTCGGTTCGGTTCGGTTTTTGTATAATAAAATTATAACCAAACGTCTATATTTTCCGGTTTCTTCGGTTCGGTTTTAGATCGGTTTGGTTCGGTTATGATATATTTTGAAAAAAACTTTATTAATCCTACATAAATTTCAAAATATCTATCCAAATAAATGTACAAAATGATTAATCTTCTAATAAAATTATAAAAAAAATCTAAAAACTTCAATAATTAGGATAAAAATTTAAAACATTACATTTTATGGTTTATTGGGTAAAATATATAAGGTTAAAAGTGGAAGGTTCGGTTATGATATATTTTGAAAAAAACTTTATTAATCCTACATAAATTTCAAAATATCTATCCAAATAAATGTACAAAATGATTAATCTTCTAATAAAATTATAAAAAAAATCTAAAAACTTCAATAATTAGGATAAAAATTTAAAACATTACATTTTATGGTTTATTGGGTAAAATATATAAGGTTAAAAGTGGAATATAAAAAAAATAATACTAATAATAATGAGGATAAAAATTAAAATATTAAAAAAATTCAATAACCGTTCGGTTAACCGCAGTTATTCAGTTATTAACCGAACCGAACCGAACCCGAACGGTTATTCAACTTTTTCAACCGTTCGGTTATTAAGCAAATAACCGAATCGAACTCTTATTTAGTTTGGTTCGGTTCGGTTATTTGGTTAATAACCGAAATGGTCACCTGTATCCAAAGTCTATAACTCCATGGCATTGAATGAATACTAATTAGGAATGATTTAAAAAAAAATACTTTAACAATGTGCTTTCCATAGATGTCAATAAGTTTAAATGGTGAACCAAAATTTAATAAGATTTGAATGCGAAATCAGAATTAACATATGTACATTTAACTCAATTAACCAAAGTTAATTACATTTCTTTAATGGTCCCATTGGAATTCTCTTGTACTGTAGATTCTGTGTATCCCAGCCCTTCCCTTTGGACCCTCCTCTCCCCTCTACCCTAAAACACACCCCACCCACCACCACGTCTACTGCATCAGCCTCTCTCTCTCTCTCTCTCTCTCTCTCTCTCTCTCTCTCTCTCTCTCATGCCATGAAAAACAAATCTCCGAGAGACAGAACCTCTTCCCCCGAAATCTCTCATCCTGATGACTCCTGAGACCCAATAGTAAGAGACCAGAAGAGAAAATCCATGGCGGAGAATCTTGCCTGTGGGGAAACCTGCGAGACATGGCTCAATGACGACGCCGATGACATTGATGGCGGCGGATTTGTTAATGAGATTGATTATAACCGTAAACTATTGAGTAAAGATGATAACTTCGACGGACGCGGATCAATTCCGTTGATGGGTTTTCCATCGTTGCTGGGCGAGGACAGAATCAGAGAGATGTTGGAGAGAGAGACCGATTTTTTGCCCGGAAATGATTACCTTAAGAGATTGCGTGCTGGAGATTTCGAGTTGTGTGTTAGAAACGAAGCTCTGGATTGGATTTGGAAGGTTGGATTTCTGCTTGCTTTTTTATTTGATCTTCTGACTAAAAGTTTACCCATTTGGAGTGGTGTTCAAACTGCAGATGCTAATCACTGTCACTGATTCCAAACTCGAATCTGTTTTGTCCCATTTGAGTAATGATGTTGGGTTGAAAGATACTTCTATGGGAAATTTTCTGGGTTTGGCAAATGGCTGTTAGTGACTGTGATAACTTTCAACGATTGGAATGATGTCCAAAGCTTTAGATTTGTGCATTGGTTGCTTAAATGGATCGAATCTATTTGTATGAGATGGATATGTTTCCATTCTCATGATAGATTGCTGTTTTGTTAACTTGGAGCAGATGGGTCTGTCTTTAATGCTTTATTTGATTTATTTTCATGAATATTATCTAGTTTCATCCTTCTATCTCACAATCTTGTTCTTTTGTGAACAGGCCTGTGATCATTACCATTTTGGTCCCCAGTGCGTATGCCTGTCCATGAACTACTTGGATCGGTTCTTGTCCTCCTATGAGTTGCCAGTAAGTTACAGCAATTCAGCCACTATGGTTATCTTCCCACAGCTTGACCGAATTGGTCTGAATCAGAGACAATGCTGATGATGTTTTGCTATTGTATAGAAAGACAAGGCTTGGGCTGTCCAATTGCTTGCCGTGTCTTGCTTATCATTGGCAGCCAAAATGGACGAAACCGACATGCCTCAGTCTATTGATCTACAGGTTCAAAACCATTCTTTCTTGATGTGGTTCTCAACTCATCAAGAATGATAGATTCCAGTTGTTTTAGAGCACTAATGTTGAAATGTTTTCAATGTCTCGAACAGGTTGGGGATCCCAAGTTTTTGTTCGAGGCTAAGACTCTACAAAGGATGGAACTTTTGGTACTGAACACATTGAATTGGAGATTGAAAGTTCTAACTCCATTCTCCTTCATAGATTATTTCTTGAGCAAAACAACTGATCACCCATCCGAGAATTCAATCTCTAGATCCTCAGAACTCATATTAAACACAGCTAGAGGTGCACCTTTTCTATCATCAAAACGTGTAACTTTCTTTCCCAACCTGTGATTAACGTTCTCCGTCTTGGAGGATTAAAGGGTTGCTGTTGAAAATTGAATGCAGGAATCGAATTCTTAGACTACCGGCCTTCTGAGATAGCTGCGGCCACTGCAGTAGCCATCTCAATTTCAGGAGAAATGGAAGTTATTGAGAACGAGAAGGCAATTTGTAGTCTATCACATGTGAAACAGGTATCATTTTCAACTGCTTCCATTATGCACAAAGCCTGGAACTTTAGCTTCGGAAGCTCACTAATGGGAACTTCTGGCATGAATAATGTGCTGAAGTGAACGAAAACTGTTTCAGCTGATCAGGAAACCTTGATGAGAAATCAAAACTTTCACTCATTCAAGATCAAACGGGTGGAAATTTGATTTGGGGGTCTGTCTTTGATTGGATTTGTTTTTTGGCAGGAGAGAGTTGCGAAATGTTTAAGAATGGTGACAGAGAAGAACAGAAGGGGAGCTGCATTGGCAGTGCCATTGATGACAGTGGCAGTGCCAGAGAGCCCCATTGGGGTGTTGGAAGCAACATGCTTGAGCTACAAGAGTGACGATAGAACTGTCGAGTCATGTTCAAACTCTTCACACTGTTGTAGTCCAGACATCAACAACATCGCCCACAAGAGAAGAAAACAGTAAAGAGTGAAGAGGGGAGAGTTCATACATTGCTTCACATCTCTGCTCCAAAAAAAAAAACATTTGGGGTTCCTTTATTTTCCTTAAATTCTTCTTTTTTAAAAGTTTTCAACTCCTCAATGTTCAATCAGAAAATTTGATTGAAATGAGAGTTTTGTGAAAGAGAGAGAGAGAAGGGCTGTTTTGCAGGAGGGGTGAATAAGAACAACTTGGTCATTGAAGAGGATCAAAGGCAACACGAAGGAGATGTAAAACAAAACTAATAATAAAAACATTTGCTATTTATTTCATCACATCACCATAAATCCAACTCTATATTCAAAGAGTGAATTTAAAATTATGCAATATTTACAGGTCTCAGTATTATAATTTGATATGCTCATCATAAATGCTCTCTGTGACACTTCAATTTTTGTATGATCCGATTCAGAAAAAAGGAAAGAATCATTTCTTGAAACAATTCTTTACAGTTTTCTTTTAAAAAATTTCCCCAAGTAATTAATTCTGTGAATTTTTTTTTGAAATCAAAATGGGGGAATAAGAGGTCAAGAGTGGGGAGATGGGGTTATGAAGGCATGCATTTTTGGGGATTGGAGAAGGAAGTCATAGTGGGCCCGGTGGGACCCACTGTTTTGACTGTGGGGCCGGTCAACGTCCCTCCCTCTCCCATTTTGTAAGAGAAAAAAAAAATCTGACCACAACAAAAACCTTGGGAATCCACTGTGTTGTTCCGTTACCTTTATTATTATTTTATACCCTAATTTCCTCAATTTTTTTTTAAATTTTTTTAACAAAATCTCCTTCGATTTATTTAATTATTCTGATTACTTTTCATAAACCTACCTTTTTTATATTTCTAATGTTCTGTTTGCAGATTAAATAAATAGCACGAAGATCTCCCATTATTTTAAATTACCTGAAACAATGTACTGTAATCCCGTACGATTCGGTTAATTTCCGATTGCTTTGTTTCAATTCGAGTCTAAAATTAGGCTTCAATATTCATAAACAAAAGAGACGTGCGTCCCTAAAATAATCAAATTTATGCATTAAACTCTTAAGCAAATTACAAAAATGATTAAAAAAAAAAGGTAAAAAAAAATTGAAAAATGAAAAATAAAAGCAAAATATTCCCTTTGTTTTTTTATTTTTGGAGTCTCTTATTTGTCACTCTCAATATATATTATATAAAACAATGCGAAAGAGGAGCAGCCTTTGGACAGAGTAAAATAATGATAGATTGACTGAAATTAGCGTTATGGGATGATTCTTAATAATCGACCGTTTGGGGGTCCTTGTTTGCATTTTATTATCTTATGCGGATGTGGTGAGGCAGACAACTGTCTCGAAACCGCAAATGACAAAGATGTAAAAAAATAGTATTAGACAAATCACGAGAAACAGAGTTGTGCAAATTGGTTTTGTCGTTATTACAATAATTACGGTTACTTAATTACGTGGTTTTAAAGATCCAAATGTGCCGATCTCTCAGAGCATCGATTTCGAATAATATGCGGACCATCTCCTTTTACATCAAGAGCATGCATGATGCATTGCATGGTGATGGCGCAACAGCGGATGTTAGAGAAATAAAAGTAAAGAAGTTGGGGGACCTTAAGCTTTTACTCTCTCTGCAACTCTCTCAGAGCTTTGTTAGGCCTCTCTCTCTCTCTCTCTCTCTCTCTCTCTATATATATATATATATATATATATATATGATTTTTCACTCTTTGTTAATTGTATTTGCCCTCGAGACAAAAGGGTGCATACAAAAAAGAGAATCTACCTTAGTTAAGTATTATGGGGTATTTTTATGCATAGTGATGCAAAAATCACATGCACCCTCGAGGAACAAAGTTCGTAATCTGATATATGGTCCGACCTTTTGTTCCCTTTTCTTGGAGGATTTGTGTTGTGTTCGAATCCATACTTTCTTTTATCATATAAAGTGGTACATTAAATTTATCGCGTTCTTTTACATAAAATGCAAATAATTCGTCGTATTTCGTTACATATTACGAAAAAACTTTTGGACCGAGAATCGTTGAACGAAGCCAAGTGATGGAAAACCTATACAATATTAGATTTAGATTATGCTAGGGATGATCAAGACATGTAATCCAATATATAGTTTATACTTCTATTCACGAGTTCGAACATATATATATATATATATATATATATATATTAAATGGTTGGAAAAGTGGGGTGGGGAGATGGGTAAAAGGTGGGGTTGTTGTCGTGCAGTTAATTTTGGTTCGGAGTTGTGGAATTTGTACAAGGAATTCAGTGTCCTTTTATTTTCTTTTAATATTCCTCTTTTTCCTATTTTTTTAAAAATAGATTATAAAATTTTATTTATAAAAAAAAACCCAAGGAAATAAAATGACGTGCGAATAGTACATATGAACAAAGACACCATCTCCGGGCTATATATATAATAAGGTGCAAAGACATTGTACTAAAAGATGATCTCAGTGTCTGAATTTCGGTCTGCACCTGTAGAGTAAAGCAGAATAACCAACAACACAACTTGGTGAGTAACATGGGATGTTTTGTAAAAAATATATCCCACTGCATGCTCTACATATCGTAGGAAGATAATAGTTGAATTTTAAAGGGTAACTTGGTAAAATTATACAACAGAAAATCCCATATGCATTGTTTGTTAAAGAGCGTGATAATTGAGAGTTCGACTCTTTACCCTCACCTATCGTTCGTCAATTACGACCGATTTATCTCCCATGTATCGCGGGTTCGTAGTTGGAATTCCCCACACTAGCAGAAAAAAGAAAATTATATACTATATGACGAGTGCAAGGTAATGAAGTCAAATAGATAAAACATGGTCAAGCTAGAATATAGCCGTTGAAGCAAAAAACCCTAGTGGAAATAAGTGAAGTAACCAATGGTTAAATTTTATGGGATGTTCCCTGCAATTCCTCTGTGATTGATGAGCCTTTGTTCATTTTTCTTGATTTCTCTCCACAGTGACTCTTGGTAGAATTTCCAACAACTATAGATTGGATCGAAGAAGGCTTCGTCGATATGCCACAGCGGCTGCTGTCGGGTAAGGAATATAAGGGTAGTATTGTAAATATCGTAACATCGATATTCATAATCGGGTAACCAGAATTCGGGACAGGGAAAAAAGGGTTTAAAGTTCAAACCATTGAAGCGAAGTTGTAATGGAAAGTGCAAAAAGCTTTAGTCATGCAACTACTCCTCTTAAGGTAGAAGGGGAAGCGAGTAACTAAGTAAAACTAAAGGATTACTTGCAAATATAAACAAGAGATGGAGAATGAGACTTACAGCGTTTTGTCCCAACACAATGCCGAGGATACGGTCTGAAGCATTTGCTCAAGAATCATATATGTCGGCGGGTCTATATACTTGACATGTGGCTGTGAAAAAGGGTTATAAGATTGCAATTTTGAAATATGTATTGATGAAGAAATCACAGGCTAACCTCTTGCTGAATGTGCACACCGATATCACCACTTGATAAGGATATGCTTTCATGGCAATGATGCCATGATAAGCACTGTGAGCCTATTCCAACACCACATAAAACAAAAACAAATATCAGTTTAATGTAAAGCAAAAAAAGAAAAATAGACGGGTTTAAGAAGCTCCTATAGCGAGCCAAAGTTGAAAAACCAGGGCAAACGGGCCAATTTGGACAACTAAATTCACCATGAAATGAATTCAAGAACTTTGTCACAACAATGTCGACCGAGAAAACCAAAGAATGTAAGCGAGCTGAGCTTCTTCCAAGGCAGTGTCAAACCCGAAGAGCAAAATGATACCTGCAGGCTATCAACGATTCCAGCAAACTCCTAGCAGGCTTCCACCAGAAAGATGAATATTTTTTGTAACACTTCCCTCCATAGCTGAAGCAGGACAACGATGGTTAAGGTATTAAGGTCGTCAAGACTCAAGATGTGCATCGTTGTTCTTAAGAAGAGAATGAAAGTGGCAGACTTACCGGCATTTTCAGCCAAATCCTTATCAGAAAAGCCACCATAATCAAAAGGGATCCCACAACATTTTTCACACCGTATTATCTCAGGGAGCGATGGCAATCTGCAAACAGAAGTGCCTATGCATAACAAATTTTACAAAGTTGAAAAAAAGGGAAACAGTAAGAAAGCATGATGGATGAACTCACATGCCTCATGACGAGGGCAAAGCCCGGTAAAGGTGATGATTGTTGCCTTCACTTTGTTGAGGTCGGAAGTACATTTTATTCGGTGAACCCTAATCAATTTTCCAGGACAGATTACATGGCAATGCACTGCATCTCATGTTCTAAATCAGAACGACAGACAATCCATCAAGGCATCAACACACACAAACCAACCAAAAGATCATCGAGCCTGACAGAACAGTGCTGGAAAGATGCATACAAACTAGGGACAAGAACAGCAATAATTACCACTGCTCGACCCAATCTATCCACACTCAAATTCATTTGAAAAAACTCAACTTTATTGTTCCCAAGTACTTTGATTTCCGCAGAAATCTATAGAGAGAGAGAGATCTGCTTGAGAAAATCGACCTTTCGTCTGCCTTTGACCTTAACAGTCCAACTCTTCAACTTTTTTCTTTTGGTAAAAAACTCTTCAACTCAACACAAACACTGAGAGTGATCGAATCTCAAACTTCGGAAACCCAGAACTTGGCAGAAACGAATCGATAAGTATGAAAGCAAAATTCCGAAAAATCATTCACCTCAAGGAATCGTCTCCGCATCTGAGAACACGTCGGTGATGTGAGGGATGTTGAATCGCAGCTCGAAATCTCTCCGGCACTTAAAATTCCACTCCGGATCTCTTAAATCGACCGCCGCCATCTTCGTCTGCTGCTACAGCCACGCCACGCCGGATCCGCCCGAAATTCGCCGGCGATCGCGTTATCCCGAGCCCAGTAGACCTCAGGATAACGGATCCCTTGGGAGCGACGGAGGCGAAGGAACAAATCGCCGGAGAAAGAGATTACATGGGAAAGAGAGATTCCGACAAAGAGAACGAAAAGGATTGGATCTTCCGCTCTGTTCACTCCTCTGCCTTTCCCTA